GATTCTTGTCTTGAAAGAGAGAGGGGGGGGGGAGAGGGAGGGAGGGGGGGAGGGAGGGAGAGAAAGAGAGAAAGAAAGAGGGAGGGAGGGAGGGAGGGAGGGAGGGAGGGAGGGAGGAGAAAAAAGCTGGAGGGGCTGGGGTTGTGGCTCAGTGGAAGAGCACTTGCCTAGCACGAGTAAGGCACTGGGTTCAATTCTCAGCACCACATAAATAAATGAAAAGCCTATCAACAACTAATAAAAATATTTTTTTAAAAAAGGGCTGGAGATACAGCTTAGTGGTAGAGCGCCCCTGGATTCAATCTCCAGTACCATAAAAACACTAAATAAGCCAACAAACAACTAGAATAATGAAAAGAAGCCCATGATGCAGGGAAACTGATGGGAAAGCAGACAATTCCCTGGATACAGGGATAGAGAGTCAAGCACTCTCAGGGGAAAAAAAGTGTGGGTGCTATGCACGGGAGATCACTAAGCCAGGACCCTCAGCAGAGCCTAAGATGGTCATTTCCCATCTCTGAAGGAAACTGTCCCTAAGTTAGGACTTCAGATCGTTACAGATATGGGCAGACATCATAAATTACCAGGGGCTGGGAGTATAGCTCAGGGGTAGAGCATGTGCCTACCATGTACAGGACCTGCACCCCTCCAAAAAAAAAAAAATCCACCAAATTTTCAAAAAAATACTAGGCTATTACTGAGCTCAGCAGAAAAAAATAAATAATAGATTTGGACACTCTTCCCCCCAAACACTAAGCACTAGGAAATTGGCATTACTAAGTATAGCATATATGTATGAATGTTTAAGGAATCTAAGCTGGAATCCAGAAACCACGAACAAAGAAGCCATCAAAATTATTTAGGCTGGGGTTATAGCTCAGTGATAGAGTGCTTGCCTAGCAGGCAAAACTCCCTGAGTTCAATCCCCAGCACCACTAAAAACAAGATAAAAACTGATTTTTAACTGAGGTGGTGGTGCTTGCCTGTAATCCCAGCAAGTCAGGAAGCTGAGACAGGAGGATCTCAAGTTCAAAGGCAGCCTCAGCAATTTAGGAAGAACTTAAGCAACTCAGTGAGACCCTGTCTCAGAATAAAAAAAAAAAAAAAATTTAAAAGTTCTGGGGATGTAGCTCAGTGGTGAAGCATCCTGGAGTTCAATCCCCAGTAACAACAACAACAAACCAAAAAAGATAAAATTGAAAAAGGACAAAATATAACTTTAAGTCTGACAATAACCTAAAAGTAAATAGGTTAGGGGCTGGGGATGTGGCTCAAGCGGTAATTACGCGCTCGCCTGGCGTGCGCGGGGCGCTGGGTTCCATCCTCAGCACCTCTCTCTCTCTCTTCTTCTTCTTCTTCTTCTTCTTCTTCTTCTTTTTTAAGTAAATAGGTGAGTTGATCAGCTGATTAGAAAGGATGAATTTCAACGAACTAGAAGAAGGATATGAGGAAATTGTTCAGACTGCAGACCAGGCACATGCAGATGGAAAATACAAAAGGGGGGAAAGAAAACAGTGAAAGAGTCATAAGGACGAGATATTGGTTGAGAATATTCCAGAACTGTTATAAGATATGAATCCGCAGACATGGATCTCAAGTATGAGACCAGCCTCAGCAATTTAGCGAGGCTGTCTCAAAACACATAAAGTGAACTGTGGTAGAGCACCCCTGCTGGGTTCAATCCCAGGACAGCAGAGGACAAACCCACCCCCGGAAACACGCTGGTGCAGCCGCAGAACGCCGAAGACGTCCAAATTATCCACGAAGAACGGACTTCTTTCTCTCTTTCTTTGCGGCCTGTTTCAAGGAGAACTTCCGAAGACAGACTGAGCCTGCTGACCCCTCCAAGCCAGCTGCTGCTGGCCACCCACTGAGGTTCAGGCGGGAGTGGGTGTCTCCAGGCACAGGTGGGGCGCAGGGGCTGGGCCTCCGGAGGCAGCAGCGCTCGGAGGCTGCCTCCGGGGGTCTCCTTCTGCCTCTCCTTCCCAGCCTCTCGGCAGCGGGGGTCGGGGTTCCGGAGGGTGGGGAAGGGGCCGCCAGGGTCTGGCGGAGTCGGTGTCATCGCCCGCGCCCCGCCCCGCCCCGCCCCACCCGGAGCTTTAGGGGGCCTCCCGGGAGTCCGGGAACCGGCGTCACGCCCAGGCACAGAACTGCTCCTCGTGGGACCCCGGGTTCCCCGCTGGGGACGGCAGCAGCAGGCGGAGATGTCGGATCAGGCGGGCGCGGGCGGCCGAGGCCAGCACGAGCAGCGGCGGCAGCGAGAGGAAGCCCAACACGATGAGCGCAGCGGAGCCGCGATCCGAGAGCAGCGCGCGGCACCTGGGGCCGGGCGCCGGGTGGACCTGCGGACCACCCCGCGGAGGGTCAGGAGGGGCGGGGCCAGGGGGCGGGGCCGGCGGAAGTGGGGCGAGGACTGGGCGGGGCCAGGCGAAGGGTGTGACCGGGGGCGGCGCCTGGGCGGCGCCAGGTGAGAGTTGGGGTGGACAGAGCTGCTGTGGGCCAGGTAGTGCTGAGGACCGAAAGGGAAATTCGAGACCTAGGTGGAACCTTGATAGACTCAAAGAATCGCCCCCGAAGTCCCACTTTCGTTTTCCTGTCCCCATCTGCCCCCTCCCCCCATGGCCCTTCCCTGTGTTGGCAGCAGACCTTGAACCCCTGCCCGGTTGTCACCAGCCAGCACCACTTCTCCCTCCCCCATCATATGCTACAGAGAGGGACAACAGGGTCCATCTCTGTTCACCCTCCATTCCCAGACCACGTCATAGCCCACTGCACAGGTGGAGAAGCCCAGCCCAGGCCAGGAGGGGTCTGGGAAGGACTGGGGGGAGGGCCAAGGGTGAGAAGGGGCTGAGGACTAGTGAAATTTGACAATGATTCCATCTTCTCTTCCTGGAACCCGCCTCCCCTCCCCACCTCTACCCGGCTATTCAGGCTCTGAATTCCCTGGGACAAGCTGCGAGGCCTCAGGTGGGGAAGAGAACTGTCCCCTGGGAACAAATAGAAGCCTTCTCTGACTGCAGCCAGTGAGGGACTTGGCAAAAAAGGGGCTCCCAGGGAGGAGCCATGAGTTCCAGGGTCCTTGAGCCTCTGCAGGACCCCCACTTCCCAGGGACCCCTCCCACAGAGGGCCCAGGCTCACCCTGGAGTGGCACAGGAATCCCAGGTAGACGATGCCAGCTGTGGGCAGCAGTAACAGCAGAAAAACGGTTCCAGGCAGCAGCAGATGGAGCAGGAGCACAGCCAGGGCCCTCCCAGGCAGCAGCAGGGTCTTGAGACCTCGGATGGCCAGACCAGACCACCCTGAGCTTCTCAGGGCTGAGGTGTGATGGTCAGGAGGCCTTTGAGGCAGCATGGGTGCCGTGTCCAAGGTACCCCCTCCCTCATCCTCTTCTGTCTCCCTCTCCTGATCACTCATGCTCTCCTGGCAGCGGACCTGGGGGGCTCACAGTTGTGGTAAGGTAGCAAGACCAAGCTCCCCAGGATCAGACTAGAGACCCTTTAACCCTCCCCAGGTTCCACCCCCATCCAGAGTTCACCAACCAGATGGTGGACACTGGCCCAGGTAGGTCCAGCCCTGATGACCAGTCTCCGGGGCCACACCCCTGTCTGTTTCACCTACTGCCAGGTGAACCACTCTCTGCCAGGTGCCTGCAGCCAGCTCCTGTGTGCTTTAGTCAGGCCTTGCCCAGCTGTCCCTGCAGCTCAGCCTGGCCATGGGGCCCTCCTCCCTCCTGTCCGCCCCTCCCACCCCCACTTCCAGCTCCCCTGCACAATGACTTCGTTTCATAGATCCTGTCACAGCTGCCACCTAGAGGCCAGACACCCACCCCACTTTCCTGCCCTAGCTCTGCTGGTCCCTCATCTCAAAACCCAGACCCTAAGCTTTAGTGATGTGGAAGATCACAGCGCCTACTTTGTAGGGCAGGTCATGAAGGGTGCCTGGAAAGTGCTCAATGTGAGACCTGGCACACAGTAGGTGCTCAGTAAACACCAGGTAAGATATCCAGCATCCTATGTGTGTGAGTCCAATCCATCCTGAAAGTGGGCCTAACACAGACTTTCAGATGATGGGAATACATGTTCTCTTATTGCAAGGGGGAAGAAGAGTGTCTCCAGTCCCGCTGAAAGCCTTACTGGATTGCCCCTGATATTAGTAAAGTACCCTAACACTCGCCGCAGCTCCAGGACACACTGACCCGACACCTTTTCCCACAGGGGGCTTTTCATTCCTAAGTTTCCTTCTAACACTTTTCAGCCCTCTCCAGCTAGCCAGCTTCCTTCAAATCAAAGGGGTAGGGGTATGACATCAACAATAGCGAGCATGTGACATGCTCCCATTAGGACAGCTGAGCCTCCCCTGCCCCAACACACAAGGAACTCAATTGTTCCGCTGGCACACCACACGCACCACGATTCGATAGTGGCTGTTTGTATATTCCAGTAGTGACTTTGGGGTAAAAATGTTGCAAAACAACTCTTGCTGGGCAAACCCTCTGCCAGTGAGCTACATCCCCAGCTGGCAGAGCATCTCTCTAATGAGTTCATCTTCTCTTCAAGGCCGTTCTTCCTTCAACCAACACTGAATTGCTGCTGTGTGATGAAGGCCATTTTTCTGTTGCTATAACAAAATACCACAGACTGGTAATTTGTAAAGAAAAGGTATTTATTTGGCTCATAGATCTAGAGGCTGGGAAGTTCAGGAGCATGGTGCTGGCATCTGGCCAGGGCCTTATGTTGCTTCATTCATGGCAATGACAGAGCAAGCCTGATAGGTCAGTGCTCTCTCTCTCTCTTTTCTCCTCCTCCTCCTCCTCCTCCTCCTCCTCCTCCTCCTCCCTCCTCCTCCTCCTCCACCTCCTCTTTTTCCTCTTCTTCCTCTTTTTTCCCTTCTTCCCCTTCTTCCTCCTCCTCCTCCCCCTCCTCCTCCTCTCCTCCTTCTCCTCCTCCTCCCCCTCCCCTCCCCCTCCTCCCCTCCCCCTCCCCCTCCTCCTCCTCCTCCTCCTCCTTCTTCTTCTTCTCCAGTGCTGGGAATACAAATCCAGGGCCTCACACATGCCAGGAAAATGCTTTACCACTGATCCACTTCCCCAGCCCACTCTCTCACAAAACCATTAATTTGATCATGGAGGCCCTTCCCTCATGACCTCAACTGATCCTAATTAGCTCCCAAAGGCCCCAGCTGCAAATGCCATCAACGTATAACTGGGAATTAAGTGTCCAACACATGCACTTTTGAAGGACACATTCAAACCACAGTTTGGTGCCAAGAACTGCTCTTGGCTCTGGGCTTCAAAGGCCTGCCTCCCAGAGGTGAGCCTGAGCTGGCATCCTGGCAGCCTTGCCTGGACCCAGAGGCAAGGCAAACCCAATCCACCAAGGCCTGGGCAGAGCTGGGGAAGGCAGACTGTCCAGGGAGCCACATGAGGCCCACTGTCTCACCTGCCTCCTTCTGGGAGGCTGGCACAGGCAGTTCTACATCCTCCCTTACTATGATGAGGTGTGGGTCTTTCCACTGATCCCCAGGGACAACTGCACCATGCAGGTGACTCCTTAGCACAAGTGCCCTTATCCCCCTCAAATTTGGGTCCTCCTGTGGGACGAAGGCCAGGGGGCGGATGCTGAGACCAAAGCTCCTCTTGCTTTGGGTATTTACATCAGTCCAGAGCTCACTGCTTCTTTGCTGGCCAGCCTGCTGGGGTATGCCCTCATGGATTGTCCACCCTAGAAGAGGAAGGCAAGTCATTAAATGAAATAAATATCCAGGCATGGTGGCACACACCTGTAATCCCCACTGCTTGGGAGGCTGAGGCAGGAGGATCACAAGTTCAAAGCTGGCCTCAACAATTTTGCAAGGTCCTAAGCAACTTAGTGAGATCCTGTCTCAAAATAAAATATACTAAGGGCTGTGGATGTGGCTCAGTGGTTAAGTGCCCCTGGATTCAATCCCCTGGTACCATGAAATAAATAGACCTTAGACCTTTGTGTTGTGATAAGTGCCAAAAAGAAAATAGGACAGGGTTGAAGACAGAGACTGCTTCAGCTCCATGGTCAGACTCCAGGTGTTATGGGGGTGGAGGGGACAGCTGAGTGGACTGAGGTACCCAGGGGAGGATCCAGGTAGGTTAGGGGTGGGAAGGGGCCCCTTACTTTTTACCTTGGGGCACCTGGAAGGGCTGCCTGCTAGCGAGGTAATGAGGGGCCAGGGTACAACCCTCCAAACACCTCATCCTTTGCAGCCTGGGGGTAGTGGGGGTGGGTGTAATGGGCAGCTCCAGAGTTGGGCTGTCTCCTGTTGGCCAGCACAAGTCTCTGTAGGGGAGAAATGCAGAAGCTGCCACTAGAGTTAGTCTTCCTGGACACAGGCCCAGCTTCCCCTGCAGAGCTCTGGGCAAGTGACCAGCCTACCCCCCCGGCCCACCCCAGCACCCAGAGTCAAGATACCCACCTGAAGACTTTGCTCTGGCAGGATCACTTTCCACCCCAAGACAAGGTGTTTAGCAGCTCCTGTGCCAGAAATACTCCCCACCCACTTCCATCCTCTCTTGCCCAGGTGTCTGCCTTCCATGACTTTCACTGACCCCACTCAACCTGCTCTTCAGGGGTTTCCCTCCCTGTCACCCCATGCCACTCTCTGTCCAGGTGTCAGTGGTGAACAAGAACCGTACCTTGAACTCTTCCCCAGCTCTGACCCAACTCAGGAGAGGTGGCTCCATCCTCAGGTCCTTTTAGCCAGTAGAAACAGGAGCAGGGGTAGGGTCAGAGCAAAGGTGACTGGGGGCAAGTCCAGGCACATCAGAGGCCATGTTCCTTGTGCAGGTTGTGGGGGGAGGAATGTCACCCAGGAGCATGTTCCTGTTTGCGCTTCCCAGACTGCCCTGGTCTTGGTTCCTGGCAGGAGGTCTGAGGGAGGCCAGGCAGTCTGCAGGGGGTAGGGTGCTGGCCAGGGGCTGCAGCCAGGCAGGCAGAGCTTCTCCTTAGATTACTGGGTAAACCGTGCCAGTGGCTCCGCCTGGCCCAGGAAGAAGTAGGAGCTTCTCTTCACCCCTGGCCTCTCAGGTGAAACTCCCACAACAGCCTGCAGAAGGAGTCTTGTGAGGACAGTCACTAGGCTGGTACTGGGCTAGAATCAGCGTGGAGGTGACCCCCCAGCCAGAGGACAGAGCCCCTGGGGAAATTCTCCCTGGAGGTAACTCAAAGTCAGAAGGCTGGGTTTCCATGGAGAAGGTGTGTGCATGGGTGCCTCCACCTTGGCATGGGACACCTGGGCCCACAAGGCAGAGCCTCCAAGGTGAATACTCTCCCCAGGTGGATTCCAGCAGGCCTGAGCCTATGGAGCAGGAAGGGGCGGAGGCTGCAGAGCAGGAATTGCAGTGGATAGAACTAAGCTCGGAGGCCCGGGAAGCCAGGACAAAGGGGCCCAGTGCCCCCCAGAGCCAGGGGAACCTGCTCCAGGCCGTGTGGCATGGTCCTGCTGCCTTGGTGACGAAGCTCCTGAGGCAAGGGGCCAGAGTGGAAGAGAAGTAAGCTCTGGGACTGACTGGGATTCCTTCTTGGGGAGGGGCAGGATAGGGTCTGGTCAGCAGACTGCCGGCTCCCGGGACACCTTTACTTCATTGCAGGGACCGCTTTGGAAGGACCCCTCTCCACCTGGCTGTGCTGCGTGGCCACGCGCCGCTGGTGCGCCTCTTGCTGCAGCGCGGGGCCCCAGTGGACGCAGCGGACTGCGCCGGGCACACGCCACTGCACGATGCCGCCTGGCAAGGGCACTCGCGGGTGGCCGAGCTGCTGCTGCGGCGAGGGGCCCCGGTGGCTGCACGCTCGGGGAAGGGCCTCACGCCGCTGCACTGGGCCGCGGCACTGGGCCACACGTTGCTGACCGCGCGCCTACTGGCCGCTCCGGGATTGGGCCCCGAGGCCACTGACGCTTTCGGCTGGACCGCAGTGCATTGGGCGGCCGCCGGCGGGAGGCTGCCGGTACTCGAGCTGCTGGCGGCAGGCGGGGGCGCGGACCTGGACGGTGCCCTGTTGGTGGCGGCTGCGGCCGGGCGCCAAGCGGCGCTGCGCCTCCTCATGGCATGCGGGGCGCAGGTGGACAACCCCGACGGCTCCGGGGTCACCGCGCTGGGCTTGGCGGCCGGCCTGGGCCGCCAACAGGTGAGTCCCGCTTTCCCAGGCAATAGCCTGGTGCCCGGAGGGGGCGCGAGGCAGGAAGCTCCAGACCGCACTCCCCTCACCGCGGGGTGGGGCCAGGCGGACGCGGAGGCTGGGCAGGTGGAGGAGGCGCGAGCGCAGGAGAGAGGCACCTAGGGGTGTAATCACCTGAGCGCCGTCTTGGCTGTGCCTCTCCTCCTATGATCTTGCCGTCTCGTGGAGGCCCTGGAGACCCTGGCTTGCATTGCTACTTCGTTCTGGTGGCCGGCAGCAACAAACATTTATCTAGTACCTGGTCTGCAGTTGAGACCAGCTAGCTCCCAGGCACCAGAGGAGGACAGGAGGCACAGCAGAGTCTGGATATGAAGTCTCCAAGCAGAAGGACTGCAGGCTGCCTTAGGTTCTGGCTTATTGACCAAACACAAGGTCAGAACAGGTTAGGGCCAGGCAAATGTCTCCAGGTCCCGGCCCCTCACCCACTTGTGTCAAGGCCTGCTCATGCCTTCCCCTCTCCTCCTTTCTAGGACATTGAGCTGCTCCTGGGCCATGGGGCAGACCCAGGCATCAGGGACAGGCATGGCCGCGTTGCACTTCACAGGGCTGCTGCTGGTGGGCATCTGTCTGCTGTCCAGCTGTTGGTGGCCTGGGGAACTGAGGTAGATGCTCAGGACTCACTGGGCCTCACACCCCTGCACTATGCAGCTCTGGGAGGCCACATGGAGGTTGCCAGCCATCTCCTGGACAGGGGTGCACAGGTCAATGCTGCTGGCTGGCTCCACAAGACCCCCCTGCACCTTGCTGCAGAATATGGCCACAGTCCTACTATGGAACTCTTGCTGAGCCGAGGGGCTAGTCCCACTCTGAGGACACAGTGGGGTGAAGTGGCCCAGATGTCTAATGGGGGGCTTCCCCAGGTGCTGCCTGCCTTTCAAGGGGAGCAGCAGATGCGTTCAGGGCATACAGCCCTGCAGGTCCCAAGCAACTCTCTGTAAGACTGAGCTTCCACACACAGCGGCACAGAAAGCTCCTCAGCCCAGAGGTGCCCAGCTCCTCTCTTCTGGACTGAGATCACCTGCCTAGGTGGAGAGAGGGATCAGATGAGAGGTTCCTGGGGGTGGGGGGAGAGAGCCACGTAAGACTTGGTCACTGGCTGTGGCCAGACCTCAATGTTCCCATCTCTCAGTTCCAGCTTTCTCCACACTCTTGGGTGAAGACTGAGTCACAGCAACAGGTCTGACCAAAACCTGATGGTCTCCCCTTGTCTGTCCACCATGGAGGCATCCCCTCACCTGTTCCCGTGCATGGGGGTATTCTATTTTCTTAGATTTTGTATTTTCCTGATGAACCAAACTAATGGCAGAATTGTTCCCATCACCCCTTTCACCCCTGCTGTGTGCCACCTCCTCAGGAATTCCCACAGGCCAGGCCACTTTTCCTGCTCACTGCCCAGGGCCAGGTACAGGCACGCAGGGTCAGCTCATCTGTGGCAGGGCCCACTGGAGTTATCCAGACTAGCCAGTTCTAAGCTGTGTGCCATGCTCTGCCCCTCCAGTGGGCACTCAGCGAGGGCCGGTCCTTCCTTCACTCGCCCTGCCTCTTGAGCAGAGCCTGCTGCTCCCTGTGTGCCTTGCTTGGCCGCCAGGGCATGGTACACTTCCACCTCTGGAAAATCTAACTACAGGGCTGGGGATGTGGCTCAAGCGGTAGTGCGCTCGCCTGGCATGCGTGCGGCCCAGATTCGATCCTCAGCACCACATACAAACAGAGATGTTGTGTCCGCCGAAAACTAAAAAATAAATATTAAAAAAAATTCTAAAAAAAAAAAATCTAACTACAACAAAGTCTTCTTTCAACATCATTTGCTTCTCCATGTCTTAATTCTGTCATTTCTGTGAATTTGAACTCCCATGGGTATAACGCAGATAGGGACAGTTGTTAAGTACAGCTGGACATGGTATAACATCCTGTAGTGCCAGCACTTGGGAGGCTGAGGCAGGAGGACTGCTTGAGTTTGGGTGTTTCAGGTCAGCCTGGGAAAGAGAGTGAGCCCCTGTTTCAAAATAACAAAAAAGTAGTTTTTATTTATTTATTTAGGTATTGAACCCAGGGGCACTCAACCAGTGAGCCACATCCCCAGGCCTATTTTGTAGTTTATTTTATTTTTTTTCCAAGCCAAAGTGTATCCAGCTTTATTAAAGATAAATTTCATAAACAATCATGGTATTTCAGGCAGGTCATGGGCAGACAGTTGTTAACAGTAACAACAACTTTCAAACCCCCTTCTTGGATGGACTACCAAAATCAGAAAGCCACTATAAAACCCAATGAAGTCTTCATTTGATGCTCTGAATAGGGAAAGTTTAGAGTGAGGGTTGACCTTTCACATTTAGCATGTTTAACAACTTTTCACAAGCCGACCCTGACTTTCAGGAAATGAAATGAGAATGGAAAAAATTATTAATCTGAAGATCCACAATCTAGAAAAGGAACTGCTGCTCTTCTGAGGGACACTATTCTCAATGACGTCACTGGAAAGTCCAGATTGCCCCCCACACTGGTAAAACCCTTTGCTGGGAATCAGGTCCCAACAGGTCTGAGTTTAGAGGAGTTAAGTCCGTGCTGATGCCAGAGAGGGGGAGGAGGACATACAGATGAGTCTGAGTTTTTCCATACCACAAGGCACTTGTGCCAAGGTGGCTGTGTGTGCCAACATCAGGGAATCCCCTCCTCTTGGGAACAAAGAGGAAGTCTCTCAAAACTAGAAGGGAAAGGTGTGTTTCCCCACAGCAATCCAGCTTTGGAGACATTCTACTAGTGACACATGCTCCTTCCCCCCCAAAACAACAATGAAGTGTTCTGTGTGCTAACAACATAGCTTAAAAAAAAAAGTAAAACAAAATTCTGCACCTTTATAAAACTTGATAAAAAATAGTATTTCAAACGGTACAGCCACCAGAAGTCCACAGTTATCAGAAAGGCACACACTGCCCTGGCGTCTCCAGCCCCTCAGCTGTCTGTGCCTGGTCTGTTTGGGCATCTCCATCTTCTGCAGGGTTTCCCTTTGGGTACTTCTCTCCCTTCTTTGCAGGGGCTTTTTCAGGCTTGGGCTCTGGCTTTGGAGGAGCAGGTTAGCCGACAGCCTTGTGGATCTTCTCTGTGGTTGTCTTTCACCTGGGCTTTATCTCTTTTACATCCCCTTCAGCCTTTCTCTTGGGCATGGTGGCGATGGCGGCGGGATGCTGGCTCTGGACCAGGGGATGCAGCGGCTGGCTTTGGTCAGTCCGAGGTCGTTCTCGCCTCTTCTTCTTCACACTGCTCTTATTTTTATTTAATTTAATTAAATTAATTAATTAATTTATTTATTTTTAAGATTTCCTCCCTGGAGGAAGAAGGGGACCCAAGAGGTGGAATCCATGGAAGGGGGAGGTCTTCCCCCCCCCTTTTTTTTTAGAGAGAGAGAATTTTTTTTTAATATTTATTTATATATTTTTTTAATTATCGGCAGACACAACATCTTTGTATGTGGTGCTGAGGATCGAACCCGGGCCGCATGCTATATCCCCCGTCCTGCTTTAACTCTTCTTAAAACTATATCCCCAAAAGGATATAGAAGGCCAAGTTAATATGGTACAGGTGATAGATAAGAAAATCACCAATGGATACTTAGATTAGTGAGTGCGAGATCAATGAAGGATGGGAAATCTACCTTATCTCAGAATGTCATGGCCTCGGAGGGTGCTGCTCAGATTTCCACCTGTCTGCCGCTGTGCTGCAAGCCCACAGTTGCATTTCAGCTAGGGGCACAATTTTCTCAGCTGGGATGCTGAGCACAGATGGGCACCAGGGACTGGCCATTTTCACCAGATACAGGGCTTCTCTATCTGGCTGTCTCTGCTTCAGCACCACTGGGTTAGCAATATGCTTCAACAGGGGCGCCCAGTCATGAGTCCTTCTACAGGCATCAGGCGCACACCTCAAATGCTCACTTAATTCCACATCTGCTTACCAGAAGGCCTGGAACACACAAAGTATTTCTTCCCAAGTCACTTGCCAGTTACAAATGTGGACACAGTGGAGAAGCCTCCCAAACATTAGCCAAAAAGCAGATATCACCAAGTGGGACAGAGAGGGTCTCAGTCTCCCAACACCAGGGAGTGATCAGGGTGCAATAGGACTTCATGGCGTTCTGCCAAAAAAGTACAGACTGATTTGGATCACCAGGAAAAGACTCAGGTCAAGGGAGATGCTGCAGAACAGTCTGTTCTCTTCAGGAATCCCAGGGTCAGGAAAGACAAGACAGGCTGAAGAAATATTCCACATCAATACTAAAACAGACATGACAGGGCTGGGCTGGGGCACAGTGGCAGAGTGCTTGCCTCACACTTGTGAAGCACTGGGTTCAAGCCTCAGCACCACATAAAAATAAACAAATAAAATAAAAGTCATGCTCTCCATCTAGTACTACAAGAGCGGTTTGTAAGAGCAGTAGAGCACTCACCTAGCAGGATCAAACCTTGGGTTCGATCCTCAGCACCACATACAAAAAGTAAGCAAATAAATAAAGGCATGTTGTCCATCTACAACTACAAACAAAACAAACAATCAAAAAAAGAAACTATATCCATGTAAAAAAAATAACAAAATGGGCTGCTGATAGAGCTCAGTTGGTAGACTGCTTGCCTTGCATGCGCAAGGCCCTGGGTTCAATTCCCAGCAGCACCAAAAAGAAAAAAAAGGCAACAAAGAAATCACACCCTCCCAGTTCAGTATTTCTGTTTTTGTTTTTGGCTGGAGACTGGGCCAGGGGCACTTGTCCACTGAACTGCATCCCCAGCCCTTCTTATTTTATATTTTGAGACAGCATCTTGCCAAGTTGCCCAGGGTGGCCGGGAGCTTGCGATCCTCCCGCCTTGGCCTACGGAGTCGCCGGGATCACGGTGAGCTTGTGTCTGTCGGGATTGTCGCGACCCACGCGGACTGCGCCCGGCTTATGCAGTCTGTATTTTGCCACAATAAAAAATGAAGTGGTTTGCAGGAAAATGAATAGAACTTGAGGCCATCCGGCTAAGCGAAATAAGCCAAACCCAGAAGGTCAAGGGTGGCAGGTCGAAGCGGGCTACCCCTTCAGCGCGCACCGTCTGCGTCGCTGGCCGTGGCCGGCCGTCGCCCCGACCAGAGGTGGGCTGCTCCCGGGGGTTGGGGGATGGCCGCGCACCGCGGAACCGAGAAGGCGAGCGCGGAGGCGCCCCGGAAGGCACGAGGCGCACCGGAAGTCCTCGGCGCCGCGGACCCGGAAGCGCCTGTGGGTGCAGTCCTGCGCCGGCTGCCAGCCATGGTTTTCCTCACGACGCGACTCTGGCTGCGGAACCGCGTCACCGACCGCTACTTTCGCGTCCAGGAGGTGCTGAAGCACGCGCGGGTAAGCACGCCCGCCTGGGCGGCGGGGCCCGCGGGCCGGGGCGCCCACCGCCGCCTCCTCACCCCCGTTTCCCGTCCTCGCCCTAGCACTTTCGTGGGAGGAAGAACCGCTGCTACCGGCTGGCCGTCAGGGCGGTGACCAGAGCCTTCGTGAAGTGCACGCGAGCCCGCAGGCTGAAGAAGCGGATCCTGCGGACCGTAAGCGCGCCGCCGATCTCCTCCTCCTCCTCCTGGGCTTCGGTGTCCTCCCCGTCGTCGTCCTCCTCCGCCGCTGCCCGGCGGTCCTCCTTGTTGCCCTCCTCCTCGGCCCGGCCGCACATCACTCCCACCCCCATCCTCCCGAGCTCTGCATCCCACCTGCTTGTGTTGTGCCTCGCTGTTCATTGCTGGGCTGCACGTATCCCAGGAAGCTTTGCAGAGGGTCTTTCTGATACGTCGAACTGTAACCCCCCTTCAGTGTCCCTCTAAGAAATCAGCTGAAGAAACAAAAGCAAGCCCGAGAGAGGCCTCACTGGCCATAGACTGTGGTCCCAGCACTATAACTCCCTGCCCCCATTCAGAATTATGCCTTTGTGGGGAGGTGGGTCTGTGCCTCAGGCTCCTAGGTCTCCAGCCAAGCCCAGAGTGCATGTGAGGTGCTTTGAGTACCTGAGCAGTGTGGTGCACAGGAAGGGGTGGGACACTGGCTGCCCCAGAGGAGGGCAGAGGTGCTCACAGCCGGGAGGGTCCTGAAGAGGGGGCCCTGGATAGCCAGGGTGTCACCTGAGGACTTGTTAGAAGTTCACATTCTTGGGCCAGGGATGTGGCTCAGTGGTAGAGCGCTTGCCCAGCATGCGTGAGGCCCTGGGTTCAATCCCTGGCACCACATAAAAAAATAAAATAAAATTAAGATAAAAATCAAATAAAATAAAGGTATTATGTCCATCTACAACTAAAAAATATATATATGAAAAAAAAAAAAAGTTCACATTCTCAAGTCCTGCCCCAGACCTGCTGAATCAGAGGCTCTGGAAGGTGGGCCTAGCATTCTGGTATTTTCATTTTATTATTGTTACTGAACCCAGAGGTATTGAACTACAGTTCCAGTCTTTTTCTTCTGAGATGGGTTCATTTTAGCTGGGAGGGTGGGGGGTGGGGGGGGTGTACCAGGGACTGACCTCAGGGGCACTCAACCTCTGAATCACATCTCCAGCACTTTTTTGTATTTTATTTAGAAACAGGGTCTCACCGAGTTGCTTAGTGCCTTGCTTTTGCTGAGGCTGGCTTTCAACTTTCAATCCTCCTGCCTCAACCTCCTGAGCCGCTGGGATTACAGGCATGCGCCACATTACAGGGTTCTTGCTGAGTTGCTGAGGCTAACCTTGAACTTGTGAATCCTCTTGCTTCATCCTCCTAAGTCACTGGGATTTCAGGTGTGAGCCACCACACCCACCTCCAGTGTGTGGTCTGTTTTAAATCTCTAGGGAGCCTTATATAGGTCTAAACTTGAGAACCACCGAGCTAGAAGAGCAAAAATGGGCTTGAAGACTGCTTTAAGATATCTAGGAACGCCTTTAAGAAGAGACATCCCTCACACACCCACCTTGTTTAATGGAACAGAACAGAGGCACATACCATTCACCAGAAACTGCCCATTGCACTAGGTCCTGCCCAGTGGTCAGTGTGGCTCATCTTTTAGGTTTTTTCCCTGCTCACTTCTTAGTCTGATACAGACC